ACGTCGGTAGCAACCTGGTAGTCTACCCTAAGTTCAGACGAAAAATGCCCAAATGATTCCTCCGACGTATCCGAAAATGGTAAAAATGGTAGGATGTCGCAACCTCCATCCTAGTTTTTCAATGAATACGCGTTCGCAGTTCCGGGCTGGAGAAGAGCTGAAAAATAAGCAGGCGTCGGGGGAAACGAATAAAATCAATTCCGAGGGCGAAAGAGGAATTCGCAAGCGGCGTCGGTGACTCCCCTCGTTTCCGATTGATGATTGGTGTGGGTACATGGATCGTATCATAAACATATGACAGACAGATTCGTCGCTTTTCGTCGCTCCCGACTGAGAAGATTCCACAGACGCTTCAGGGTGTGGGACTTATTCACGGGTCGCAACAAATGATGGAAGCCTTCGAGTATTGGCCGAAGACGTCTGCATTCGCGGAGATTTCAGACAGCGCGCGGGCTGCTCGAGGGTAATCCTCTGGGACATGTTCTCAGGCTTGTGGTGGCATCGAGCCAAGGGCACGAGGGGCCTGTAGCGACTTCTCCCCTTGCCATCCCTTTCCGTCCTTCTTTTAGAAGTGTTGCGGCAATACATTGCACCGACGGCAGCCAACGGACGGACCGTCTGTCTTCCGTTTCTACTCGCCCGGTGGTATCCCCCCTTTCCGTCCTCCATCTCGCGGCCTGCTTGTCGTGAGCTTCGAAGCCCAACAGCACCGTCAGTACGTGTGCACGCCTTGTCCTGGAATTACCGACCGGGTGCGTCCGCGGGGCTCCCTCCGAAAACTTTCTGTTTGCTCCTCGCCATTACTTCTAACGTTTCTGCTCCCCTTGTTGATGGGCGACAGTCGTCTTCCCCGCCTTACATATGTATGTCTGTATCGGTTGTTGTCCCGCTTGCTTGTGTCGCTTGTTCGAGCCCTGCTGAAATCGCTGTTGCTCACATCCTTCCTTCGGGTACCCATTCGAATCCAGGGAACTGACTCATCTAAGCAGGGCCGCATCGGGGAAAGAAGATGAAACAATGACAACTCTTCTACGCATTCTAAGCATCTCGGAAGAGAATGATTGTTCATTCGCGAAAAAACAAGTCGGTGTCACCCACAATGAGCTTCTCCTGCGTCGCTATTTTTTGCAAGGGAGGAGTGTCCTCAGATCCGATCCCTTTCTTTCTGGAGTCCCGACTCCCCCTCCAAGATGCACTCATAAGAACTTCCACGGACTGTCAGCACTCGGATCGATAGAGATTCTGCGGAGGCCTAGAAAAATTCACCCGCGGCAGAACCCTCAGGGGAAGTGGGACGGTTTTTTTCCTGCCATGCTTTTCGTCAATGAAGCAAAAAACTTATGACAAATCGTTCAGTGCAGCCAGGCTGGGCTCTTCTTATGTTGTGGATGTCGGAGCCACGGGGGATGGGACGATGAGAAATAATCTTTATTGATTAGTCTCCGATACTGCCTGAAGCGAACGTGGAGCACCTTCACAGCGAAGTCTGCGAGAACTCGTCGCCTTTTAGCACCGGCAGCTACGTATGAAATTTCCGAATTTCATGCGTATCTTTCATAGAAACTTTCTCCTGGGCATTGTAAAGGAGATATTCTCTCGCGGGCTCGTCTGAGAAGAGCTCATGCGAACACTCGAAGACAATGTCTCTCGCTTATCGCGATTTACGCAGTAGAGAACCTGAATCGAAGGATTTTTCGCGAGCCGGAGGTCTCCAAAAACACGGGATCCGCGAAGGAGGAATTAGGAAAGAGTGCCTGCGACGGGAGCCGAAGACAATCACTTCGGAAATCTCATTTTTACTCGAGGATAGCCGCCGAGTTGAGCTGGACCTGTGAGAGCCCTGAGGGGAGAAAAATCAGATAAAGTGTCCGGTTGAGCTTGTGCAGTATAGCGACATTCCTGGAATGCCGCATCCCACGTCAGTTTGATTCTGCCGCGGAATCTTCGAGCTGCGTTGGAGCCTCCGCAGAGACGATTCACATCCGTAGATGACTCCGGTAAGAAATCACCCATCGGATCTCGCCAACGTAAGGATGTCAAGACTTACGCGGCATCTACTAAGGATCAGTCCTCCACACATGCCGTACGCGATGCCATACGGAAACCGAGCCTCTCAAGACGGCTCGCCGTCAGGGAGAGGTTAGCAGCTATATCGGATTCTGTGCTCCTATATCATAATGGGGACAGAGCAAAGCACGATGCGAATTGAGCTTGGAATAATTGGCCTTCAGCGCACGTTCGGGCAATCAAGTCCCGTGCAACGGGAAGAGAGGACACGAGACTTTAACGGAGTCATACCGACATATCGGCCGCCGGAGATCGTCGCGCGTCGCGACTTAGAGCTGTGCTTGCTGACTATTACGACTTCAGTCAGCCAATGGAGCGCCGAGATTTCATGCAGCAGATCCTCAAGTTTCGCCGACGCTTTGATGATCTCATTATTTTGGGCGCTCTCGTTCGCCCACATGCGTACATCTATCAGCTCCAACGCGAAAAACCCAGCCTCCACATGGATAGATTCCCGATGTGTCGGTCGTCGAGTTCCGTCCAGGAGAGCCGACAGTTCTGCCTCAAACATTGGGAGCGGTGCTAGAACAACACTTCCGTACCGTCATACGCCCGGGTCGACTGAATCTATTACACCCGACGAATTTCTTCGAATCAAATTCTTTCCTGAATTGATCTTCATAAGACCCGATTTCACCGAGCGGAGGCCCGGTCCTGGGCCGTGCAGGTCCCGCGCGATCGCGGAAGCTACAGGCTTGCTACTGGGAGTCCAAGACTCATTCTGATCAGGTACCGACCGAGGATGGTCTCAGAGACCGATGGCGGTGGATAGCTGACTTATTACCATTGATGAAATATAATTGAATCGCCTTTGAACCCAATACTAGAGCGATTTTCGGTAGATCTACAATCTGATGATATTTGGAAAATGCTCCGACAGATTGTGAGTCCGAGAAGGAATCAGCGACCGAAACCTGCGGAAGAGTCAAACGAGCGTTATCTGATATTATTGGCGGCTGACAATGAGTCCGGCCTCCATCGTCTCGGACTTCTCATAGATGTGATGGGTGATCACTGATCAGAGATGATTGAAGACAGCCCTCTTCGGGCATCGGTATGATTTCTAAGTCGGGAAAGCTCATGGAATATCCCGGACATGCCGGGTCTCGACCACGGGAGAGCCCTGTCGCGAATGATGGCGCGAGTGGAACCCGATATGGAGGCTCCGAACGGCTTGCCGCGGGCGGATTTCTCGGAGAAGCATCCCGAAAAGAGCAATCGAGCCACCAGAGGTTAAAACAAACAAGTCATATGAGACCCCGATCCTTTAAGGCGCTCTGGTCGGGGCAGCGAAGCCGGAGCCGAACTCTGCCGCCCATGGTCGACATCGGGTGCGCGAGATCGTGAGGCGGATCTCAGATGCCGGTTGCGTACACCGCGCTAACAATGAGCTGACAGTCCTGATGATCGTTCGTCGAATGAGCCCTAGAGCCGAATTGCGATGTCACCATATGAGATACCAGCGAGCAAACCTACCAGGATTGAGAAGTTGGGATCCGAAGATAACCGTTTTTCTTGGTCCAGATTCGGGAAATTACTTTGGAATACAGGGGCGTCTAGCAAGGACTTGCGGTTCCCCCAATGATGGACGTCACCCGCAGACCGACGACTAGATCTGAATCGACCTCGGTTAGGCGCAGGTGCTCCGGAATAATCGGAATCCCGATCGGATTTTAATGCGACAGCTCTCATGGAAGTACCGCGCCAACTGAACGCGAGAGCCTTCGTCCGGAACTCGGTCAGTCCACGGAGGGACAGTCATCAACGCCATGCACAAGCCCCCGATTTTCCGAGATGTTCGAGAACAGCTTCCATAGAGCTGAAGTCTCCCAGACATAGTGCCTATTGCCCTCGAATCTCGTGCAATTCCATCGAAAAACATCTTGGGTCGACATTGATTCCAAGATATTCGTCTTCGTTCCGAGATATTCTTGGAAAGAGAAATGCCGCTCACGGGGGAAGGGAGAGAGGAGCTTCCTCATTATGGAGAAGGGAGGGATCTCTCACCGTGAAGGAAAAATACTTCCGAAAAGTTCCATTACCGGGTCTCGTATCCGGTCGAGATCCATGGCTCTCTTCTGAAAGCGCGCATCTGATTCCTAGCTCTCGCTTTTATTTCATGTACGGCCCGAATCGTCACAGGTGGCTCCGTCACAATTTCCCATCATAACCATCACGTTGCGCTACAGTCGTTCTCTAAACTACACCTTTCCTCCATCGTATGTACAAGGGCAAGACAACGTATCGTGCCCTGCTTCGAGGGGATGATCACACGGATCATCTCCCGTTTGCGTGGCCGGCCGCGCTCCTCGGGTCACGGCTCCCGTTTCGCTCGGACATCCTGCAGGCGAATAGGCTGTAGAGTTGACGGCCAGAGCTCTCATTAAGTATTTGGTTCATTTGATCATTGATCGCTGACATGAATGTGCGCTATCTAGAGAGATTGCGTGAAGATGATAGCGAGAATGTGTTTCGTATGGTGATAAAGTTCCTGAAACCGCAGCTTGAAAATAACAAAGAAACCTCGCTCTGAGCTCCGCTATCCTTTGTTCACGGGAACTCTGCAGATAGGTTGTCCCCGGCATTCGAAAGCTAAATACTGTGTTCCCTACAGATTCCATTTCGATTCGAATCATTCGCTCGGATCGGAGCATCACCTCATCTGAGTGATGGGCTGAAGTACAGTCGGCGGTATCATGATCAACAGAGATCTTCCCGTCCGAAGGCAGCGAGGAGACCCGCGCATTCGGACTCCTACGGTACGAATTTTCCCATAATCTCATCCCTCAACCACGGAAATTCTGCAGGGTGGCTCGAAATCCGGCAGGGTCGCTGAGATGAGAAGCCGCATTTTTCTTTGGGGACGAATCCCTCTTCGAATGATAATCGGAGTCCATCGACTTTGTCGATCACAGCATTCAAGGACTCTCCGCGGATAATCACTGGAGTTGCGATATAAGAGGACAAGCCCTTTTATCCGATTTCCGGAATTTTTCAGAAGATAGAACTGATCTCGATTGAAAATTAAATCTCCGCGCTACTTTCGCGTTCTGTGCACCGAGTTCTCGAAGGAACGAGCTTGAGTCAAAAGCCGAAGCTTGAATCGGAGACTTTTCCCCTCAGCGAATCGTTCCTCAACGGTGTCATACGGGTATTGAAGTCCGCCCGCGTATTGCTCATTGGGGAAATAAGACTAGTTTCGTTCCGATAACCGTTGGGACATTATCTTTGTTTTCGGGGAGAGACTTCCCTCTCATATCACAACTCTGGTGCTATAATCCATCATAATCCGAATTTTTTTCATTTTCGATTCGAGCTTTATACGCCCTTGTCTGCGTAGCTTTTATTCATCTTATATTTGTTTGTGCTGTTTCTGAGTGATCTCTTTTTCGCTTTTTTTTGCGAAGTTTGCGCTTCCTTAATACTTTAATTATTTATACAATGCTCCTAGGAACGCTCTATAATCAGAAATTCAAGAGAAGCTTCACAATAGATGGCAAAAGAGACTACCAAATGGGAACGCAGAGAGCGGTCGCTGGATTTCGCCAAAGAAACTTCGAGAAGGAAGAAATATCACCGTTTCTACAAATCATAGCATGGGGTTGGGATTACATGCACGGGACGCGTAGGGTTCCCGCATGAACTTATCATCGGATCCTATAAGTCTCGCTAACGTCCTCAAGGTACCCACTCCTTTCCGGGGGGAGACAACAACCGGAACTCATCAGAGGGTGAGTTCCTCTGTTTCCGATTCTGACACGTCGAGATTACAGGTCGGAATCGAGCGACTTCCCATATGTCAGATGCAGCTCAATTGCGACGACACCTATGGGTTTCGATCGCTTTCCTTACGAAACATCAGAGATTTCTATAGGGACCGGGACTCCGAATTCCAACAAGCATGTCATCTAGACATATACTCTGATTTGGCAGAATATTTTTCGGCGGCGCATCTACAATGAATCTAGGTCGCCGTCAAATATGAGCAGGTGCTCGGAGCTCTGACTCGGGGAATGATAGAGTGAATCCGCCGATGAATGCACTGTTATTGCGGACTGTTCATTCATCGCCTCCGCGATATGCTCGGCGATGAGTTCGTTCGACGACTCGACCTGAAATTCGAAATTGTCTCTTTATTAGTCTACCTCAGCCCTCTCCGCAAATACTATCACCGGCGCTCGAATTGAAAACCAGCTGCGTCGATCTCTGTCATTGCACTCGCCTCAACGAGACCGCCATCGACCGCGGCATCCTGGATCACGAGTAAGCTTCCTTGCTTCAGATGACCAGGCCGGAACGAGAATTGGGGTCCCATCCAGAGCCTGCGGGAATGGAGACGTCACATTTTGTTTGAGACGGTCCCGTCGAGGATCTGAGGTATCAGGCTCCCGGTGGCTCCGGAGTCGAATATCCGACGCTTTATGCGCGCTTCGCGAACTCACCTTCGATGAGGGGCTGCGTAGGTAACGATTTCTACCTGACTCATCCAACAGCCGGTCTGAGCGGCGGTGCATTCAGCGGATCGTCTGTTCGGCGCCATGCAAACCTGTTGGGCTGAGTTCACAGCATTGCTAGCGTTGGCGTTCGGAGCCAACAATTGCCAGTGAGCGACGAGATTCGCCGACACGTCTACGCCAAGCTCATGATCACTCGGTCGGGCTCCCGCGCCGTCATGGACTTGCGGCCGGAGCTCCAGCATGTGCTCGACCAATAGTCCCGCGGTGGTAACGGCGAATAACGAGTCCTGATTGGGAGCGTGAGTCGGCACCTTCAAGGGGTTTTCCTAGATCATGAAACCGCCCGGACGATTTTCGGAGAATAGAAACCGCGACACCGAGAAAAGTCGTTTTAGTCGATACTACGGCGCTGCAGAACTCACTTTGCTGTTGTTGAGCCAACACGCTCTGGCAGACGAGAAACCCATTGATAATAGCATTCCATCTCCTTTGCGAGATCCCGCATCACAATCGCCTGTCAAGATACCGAAGTCGGAGTCTTGATGTAGGACTATGCTCTCGACCGAATTCGTATGCAAGATATTTCACGCATTCTGGAGACGAAGATATTTTCTGTAGGCAATAAGAGTACTTCGGGAAAAATGGGCATACCACTAGCCAGGCTGTGTCGAATCTGAGCCACAGGATTCACTAGCTGCGGCATGTCGTGGTCTTGATCCACTCCTGCGCTCCGTTGATATCTACTCAGTTTGTTGACTACGCGATTCGACAGGTGTGTTCGCACGGAGGCTTTCCCTCCGTACGGCGCCACTGGAAACACGTGCACTGTACCGCGAGCCGTGCAAACTGAGACCCATCGAGAATCAAGGGAGAAGGCCATGTCCCAGACGGCTGCGGTCGTATCACCTCGGTGCAACACATACAAATGGTCGACCTGAATGAGGATCGTGAGTTGTCATTAAAAGTCAGTAGGTATTTTCGGATTTAACAGCTTCCGACGGATCTGAGCTGAAACTCGAACGCAGTACCGTCGGATTGACGAACCTTGGCGTGAGCGGAGCCTCCTGGATGCGGAAGAAGACGAAAGACGTGGAAGCGACGGCCCTGCTTGTCGGCTGTTAGCAATAAATTGCCGGCAGGATCGAAACAGATCGCCGCTATCGTATCACGATGAGCCTGGAGAATAGGAGTCGAGATACAAATTATAGGATATGTAGGGAAAAAAAAACTTTTCTGGCGCTTAGGCGGAAATTCAGTTGACTCACCTGGAAATGTAACAATTTCCTATCGGTGTCCGTTGCTAGAACGTCAACTACACTGACGATGCCTTGACTGAAAGTCGCGGGATTTCTGCGAGGAGGGGAACAGCTGCCAGTCACTGTTTCGCCCAATCTGAGGGTGGAGAAACAGAGTCATCTCCCGGGAATGCTTAGTTTGACGAAGGGAGCGACGGAATCGAGACTTCATTGAACGATGACTTAGAGCCGGCCTGATTTTACCTGGTGAGACCGGTTTTGATACTTTTGGCTGCCTGCATAACCGTAACGGTGACCGATGTCGGATCATCACTCAACAAGCCACCCGGCGTTGCATAAGACGTCGACAACTGCAATATGCATACGGAGATCAACTATTGCTCGTGGAATGGAGAAGACTGCTCGGGACTCGACCGCCGGAGAAAGAGCAAAAACGATCGGGGATGGTCTTTGAACTCACGGTTTTTTCTGCGTAGGCGATCCATCTGCAGCTTATCGCTACGGGCACCTGTCCGGCAGTAGGTAAGACGAAGAGCAAACTGAAATCATGAGCTCCGAAAACAGAAATCTGCATGGGACAGGCGGCCAGAAGCGCGTTCCGAGACGCTACCACCTTCTGCGCGTTGTGGTTCAAGGAATGACGGAACGCTCCGCTGTGCACGGCAAGAATCGATATTGTGTTCAATTCACAAATTGCCACTAAGGGCCTGTCTAAGGTATAGATATCGGTTTTTCCTGCAAGGAGGGAAGCCATTCAGAGCGCTGGATCGGACCTGGCCGCATCGGTGTCTATTTCCAGCCCAGATCGGCAACAAATCGTGAATACTCACCCGCCAACTCCCGAAACGAAAGTTCGCATTTGGTCTCCTTCGGTGGTGCCGGAAGCATACAAAAATCTTTGACTGGACTCGAGTTTCGTCTCGAGAGGATCACTCTCGCAACGCCGTTCGTCTGCAAAACCAACATTGAGTTCGGAGGAAGGGCAAATGCCTCAAATGAGACCATCGCACATCGATTGTGACGTTGAAACTCGCAGAGAATTCTCACCGGCAGCGCGAACAACTGAATGCCGTCCCCGTAACCCATGCCGACCACGAGGGTTTCAAAGTCGTCCAGCACTGCAAAAGGAGATTTTCGGTCTCATCCATCACGCATGACACTTGTCGTCTCATCGGGACTTTCCTCGCATGCAATGACAACGTTTCATCTCTAACTCACCGTCAGTGTTCACCATTTTGACCCAGTTGACATGCTCATGGGTCCGGTAGCCTTTGCGTCCGGCTGGACCCGAGTTGACGCCTACGGGGACTACGTCCGAGATCATCTCGACTACGCTGTCGACGTAGGAGCGATCTTCAACACCGCTGCAAAGACGATATCCGACGCTTGAAACGTCAGAAATGAAAGGGATATTCTGATTGAATCTGAAGGATCGCTATTTCTTGTTTTCAAACTGTGCCTTCCCGGCGATGCTTTCGGGGAAGACACATCAACACGTCTAACTCTCGACGTTGCGCTGAGATAATTGTTGTTGAGAGCTGCCTTCATCCGCGGTTTTCAAAAGTTGGAGGAGGCGCCAGCGTTCGGTTTCCAAAGTTGACGAAATCGCGCTTTAGTGGGCTCATGAGCCGCCGTAGACTCGGAGATTGGCGTCGACCTCGGTCAACGGGTCATATCCGCCGAATGGAGTGCCGCGAAAACGATACTTGATTAGAAACTTCGTCCCAGAAGGAAACGGTGCAATCGGATGGATCCGGAGACGATTGCGCTCGTCACGGGACTTCCAGGCACGGAACCGCTCTGCTCATGGGGGACTGCTCAAGATAATTGCTACTACATCGAGCTTGTGCGTCGGAGATAACAGAGGGACTTGAATGCGCACCATAGACTCGCTCCGAGCCATCACAGAGCATCGTGAATCGTGAGCAGGACATTGTGCGTAATATTTCGTATTCAGCGACCAGAGCCCATGAACTTGATATGGCCCGATACGGGTTCCTGCGGTGGCTATTCGGTGACATGACAGATGATTCACTGGGCGGGCGATCGACGCGGAATCGACTCCTGTTTCTATTAGGAGTTTCGAGGGAGCTAATCATAATCACCGTTGCGTCACCCATATCGACGTTGGCAACAAGATTTGAGATGGGATGTTTCTCGGGTCCTTCCACACTTGTCTCCGAGTGAAACGGCTGGAGGGAACCATCTTATCTTTCAACACATTCTCGACTCGCTGTCAGGTCCATCCCCGCAGCTGAGAAAGCGGGGCTCTCTTGCTCTGAACGGAATTTGGACAGATTCCCGGATTCCCGGGTAGCGTATCTACCGAGCGTAGTTCTTGGCAGAAACACAAAAGAAAAAATACCAATGACTCATCCGGCCCGAGAGTCCTTCCCCGGAGAGTCGATGATACTGATTTTTCCCGAGGCTCAGAGGTTCTCGAGTTCTCCCCCAACAACGGGTAGGGTTGAGAGCGAAAAAATCCTCAATCTATTCAGCATCCTCAGAGCTCAGAACGGTCTCCCTGTATCCTACGCATGCACTCAGCAGATTCGAGAACAGAGTTCAAGGACACTCGATTGGTTCCCATCGATTCCTCGCTCCGAAAACTCAGGGATCATCTCGTCAACCATTGAGGACGAAACACTTCCGATGACTGTATCCGGAATATTGCGCAGTTAGCGGAGCTGTTGCTGGTTACGTTCAGCTGAGCCGTATTTCGTTGACTGATCGACTAGTTCACTGGCTGATCGGAGAAGCTCAGAATCGTACCTTTCAACCAAGGTGGGTGAGATGACTTGCTCAGAAGGCGGCGGACCCCCGTTCCGCGTACCAAGTGCGGACATGCTGACGCCTGTTTCGAGTATCCCACTTCGCACTAACGTTCACTGCGCACCAGCAGATCCGCCACTCCAAAACTTTCTCACTTCTCTTCTGTTTCTCCTGTTTACCAACACCATCAGCTGCTGGGCTGGCGAAGCGGTCGCGATCGGCAGCGGAACTCTACGCCGCGGACGATCAACAAGATCCGATTTTCCAGCGCGATCCTGCCGACCTAGCGCGGAATTCGTCTTTTCTTCCACCCGGGACGGAGTCGGAGCAGCCCGGTGCTCAAGATTATGGTCACCTCAAGTCGGAGCGGACAGGTTTCGGCCAGGAATGGGTCTCCTCACTCCTGCCCGGAGCCCTCGGAAATTAGAGGAGGAGAGCAGTCAGCTGTTCGACGTCTGTCTGTGGCAGCTATTCTGCTCGGAGGTTGGAGGGCTTCTACGCCGTACTTTTCCTGGATTGTTCGCAGTTCAGAGTCGGTTTACGTCTTTTGGGAAACCAGGCGAGGAGAAGGCAGGCAGACTCGATAAGGAGCGAGATCTCCCGTGCGATGAGTGACGAAGATGTCGCTTTTCTATGCTGGAGCTCAGAGCGCGATCGGGCGGTCTGCATCTGTTTTCCGAATTCGAGTTCCCGGATCCGCAAACGTTGTACATGCTGCAACCAGGGTGGATTCATCGACCTATGAGGGACTCCGGTCCTCTCTCCGGGCCATTCCGTGAGTCTCAGGCGGAGCGCTGCGAAGACCCACCTGCTAGAGGGAATGCCCTGGAAGATTCTCAAGAGACCAATGCTAGGATCGGTATGCCGCGGCGTGTCGCAGGAAGAGACGGCGAAGCCCGCGTGTTGTGCAACCCTGGCCGAGACCAGCCGGACTCATCAGAGCAATGATGACCCCAAACATCATTTCTTCGGTGACGTCACTAAGTCGAGCAACCTGGGGTCGAAGGGCCTTGCTGAAGGACCTCGTCTGTCCGAATGACGATTATAGCCCTCGAAGTATCCGGGACCAAGACATTGCATGCTTGAGTTAGATTCAGGGAGCACTCGCTTCCGGCATCTTTCAATGACCGGTACCTACAATGAAACGCGGACATTCAGCTCATACGGAAAATATCATATATTACCTCTTCCTATTCCGGGGTCTTGTTCTCGAAACACGATCTCTCTCGTCCATCTTTGAATTTCCAGAGCACTCAATCACTCACTCACTCAGTCTCTCACGATGCTTTCCATGATACATATATGTCATCTGTCTCACGATGGACCTCATGACTTATTCACGCACTATTGCAAAATACGGGACAAAATCAAGGGTATCCTTTGTGCAATCAGCTCTGCGAGACTATTGTGCGATCGTACCCGTTGCTCCGACGAGCTTGCTCAAACATTTAGTTTCCAAGGAAATACTGCAGCGCGGAAGTTCCATAGAATCTAGGTAGGTACCTAAAACATTATTCAGACATCATGTTATGTGCTTGATCGAGGGTGCCCTCAGAACAGTCAACTTGATGGGAGCACTCGAAGAAGCTTCAGACACGATCCAGCGAGCCTCAACACCGTGAGGGGCAAGCGACACCTCAAGATCAGCCCAGGCAGCCGGCGCCGCGTCGAGTCTTTTCAGACCCGAGAGTTTCTCAATAGAATCTGATTGGAGTCTTCAGACCGCGAGAAATCCAGACTCCTCATCTGCTCAAGAGATCTTGGGGGAGTCGCTTGTCGCGTTCGTTGAGATGGTCAGCCGCGCGATGCGAGATGACTAGAAGTTGCGTCAATGAGCGTGGAGTTCCATTTAGCAGTGTTCCCTCGAGAAGATGCTCTTCGATTCTAATTTCGGCTCATCTTGAGACTCTCAACGTCATGTGGTTTCTTCATCTCTCTGTCACGACGGTCTAGAACTGCTTGAGAAGAATTGCTCTACTGTGGTTTTCCTCATCTGGGAACGGCCCAATCCGATGGCGACAGCCTTTGAAGTTTCTGTGCTGCTTGCTTCCCAAAGCCATAGAGCCAAACAAATCCTATTATGACGAATATCATCGACTCTATGTAGAAACCATCGATCACAGTCTCACAAGCTCCGCCGGTCTTCAAGCATTCCTGTAAGGGGTGAGAGAATGTCCTTAAGACCCCCTCGATCTAATCCTTGTCATCGACGACCGCATATTCTCAGATTAGATAGGTACCCACCTTTTCAGCGGATTCAGAATTGCACCTCACGCCGGTCAATGAGCACTCCCTTGTGCTCATGAAATCGAGGAGCCACATCGAGAACGTCATCGGCCAGTTTCCGCCGAAGTTGCTCAAGGTGTTCAACAGTGTCATGTACGTTCCACCCATTGAGGGATCGGAGATTCTCGCGAAAAATGCCATCAGAGACACAAAGCAGGCGTTGACCAGGACTTGATGGCATGCGTAGATGGCCACGATAACGACGTAGTAATACAACGGGAAGTATCCCAGGAATGAGTGCGTCCATTGCACAACCGCAGCCAGGATCAAGCCAAACACCAGTCTCAGAGGATAAGCCTTGATGAACACGTCGAGTGGACGATCCCCTGCTACATGGCGTGAGATGAAGAAGGGGAGCGCTATTTGGAGAGGCACCATCGGAATCGAGAGTAAGGCTAGATTCTCCTTCTGGACCCCGGCCTCGATGAGCTTCAGCGCCGTAGCGCCGTCTGCGATGCCGAAACCTGCGAGCCAAAATGTCGGTAATGAGCATGAGCACTAAGAAACAGGCTGAATTTTCATATCGTTCCCCAGGGGGTGAAGTCGACAGAGCTCTTACCAATTTTCGCTGTCATGAGGAACGCCGATAAGAGCATCACGGGGGGGAGGAAAAATATTCGGAAGGTAAATCGATAGCTTTCCTCGATGTCCATATCCTCATCGTCTTGGGTTTCTTGTTCGCGTTTGAAAATGGCGACAAGAGTCGTCGCAATGAAGAAAACATACGCCCAGAAGCGCAAGTATCCAGACATGGTCACGAGTCCTGTGGGCTGAGGAGTTGAATAAATGTACGTGTTCGCGAAATCCTTCGACTCGAGGGCCAGGAACACAACATGACCCAGGAAGTAGCCAGCGGTCTGACCAACAGTGTTGCACGTTGATGCGTGCCCGACATTGCGCCTACCCATTGGGAAAGAGAGGAAGATTCATTAGATTCTAGTTGAAAAAACTCCTGCCCTCATGCACTTTAGCAGGTGGTAATTGCAGAACGCTACACAGGGTTGACCCATCATCCGCATTACCTTGATAGCATTGTCAGAGCCCAGCCGTCCACAGCGATATCTTGTGTAGCCGCCAAGAAGTTCAGAGCGAAAAAGACTTTGGTGAGAGTTTGCACATCGGGTGCGGAGTGCTCGTCGGAGAACCAAATGTCCAGTCTCGTCGAAAGGACAATGAGAAATGTACCAATCATGTACTGCACAGGTACGAGCCATGATTTCCGCCTGGGGAAGAGCTTAGCATATGTCATATCCGGGTCGAAGCTGCACGTCCCAAGATCGGCTCCCACAAATATGATGCAGGGCCGGAGTTCTTGTCCGGAGCTCACCTGCCGAATGATCTCAAGTGCAAACTGTCAACGATCGGGGCCCACAGGACCTTCATGCTGAAGGGCCAAGTCACCATGCTGAAGAGAGCTTGCTGGGCATACGATATTTTACGGTTCTGCAGGAACATTATGAAAGCCGACCCCATTCCAAGAGGAATACCTGAGAGAGAAGAAGATTAGCCCCGCCGTCCTCAGAAATCAATTCGGGACAGGATCCGACGATTCATTCCTTCAACCATCGATCCCTGAACCTGTTGCTGATTGAGCATTGTCGAATGAAAACTCACCTTGCAAGACGTATAAGAAAACTAAGAGGGCAATACTTCGCCATTCGCTCCTCCACCCTGCCGATCCTTCCCGGGGTGTTCTTTCGTGCTCCTCTTCCTCGTCGGGCATCAATGCTTGTTCGATTTCCATTTCCCTATTCGGTCTCCGGAGAAATGCCATGTCCGAAGCTTTGGAGAGATCTGGAACCGAGTACCCCTCCTGATATTAGAATCCAGAGTCGTCTTTCCTGGGCGCTCTTGATCGGTTTCCCAGTCGGACGAAAAGCTTTCCCCCTCCTAATGCTCGAGGGATATGCGCCTCACACCAGCGGAATATGTTGAACAGTATCCAGAATCACTGCCCATATCCGGGGGATGAGGAACATTATCGAACTCGGCTGGGTCCTCCTCGATCCGGTTGCGGGACGGCCCGAAAGAGTCGACCGATCGTATTTAACAGCTGTTCATTGAGAATTGAGAGGAGATACAATGGATGGACAAGGGAGCCCCGCCCGACTGTCTCGCCTCTGAGGGCTTTCTCGAGGTAGCGGAAACTTCCGGGCTCACAAACAGGAAACGAAGAAAAGCAACGGGCAAAACCCACCTTCTGATTCCGATAGCCGGCTAATCGACGTGGCTTTCTCGAGAGAGTCGAACCTCCGGTCCCCGAGAGGTTCCCCGCCACGACTCGTATATCACTCGGAATTGAGGGTGAATGTAGCGATCATGGGAATCACAGTTCAATACACGCGCTGGTTTCACAAAAAAGAGCGCAGTACCACTTCGTCACTACTTCCCGATGCTGTCAGATGGTCGAAGAAGAACGGGTGTTCGAGCGTGGAACGCATTAAAGACCTCCCGGTGACGGACCCGAATCCTCTTTACGGGAGGATGTAGTGGATGAGCGCGGGAATTCTATCCGTTTCAAGAGAAGTCATAGCTATTCGATTGGCTCTGCTGAGTTCAATGAGAATTTTGAAAACACGTCACCATGGGATGCTCCCCCATCTAGATACGTTCTTCTCGCTCAGCGAGTTCTGCTCCAGGGCTTCCGATGCTGTAGGAAGCGAGCGATCAAGAGGCTGGGATTCGCGAGCGGGCGACGAGGCTTGACAACGTCTGTGGCACAAACTCAGTTCCTTGAGGAACCGAATCATTACAGGCCCGCGTTGAGCTCTAAATCAGGAACCCGCGTTCAGCCATTGTTGCAAGTTCGCGCGGTGCCGACCGCACACACAAAATTTTCGTTACGCCAAGCGCTCCTACGTCCGGCGAATCCTGGATCCTGGGTCATCGCCGAAGTAAGGAATCACCGACGGAGGTTCCCCGCGCAATCTTCTGATATCGAAATTAGAAGCAGCTGATCACGACAAAGTCGGGGAAAGAGAGAACGCTGATACAGGAAATGATTAGCCTCGGTGGTGCCACTGTTTACAGCATTCCGCCTTGCTAATCCGCATGCTAGTAGATGCTCGTCTCTCTGGTCCTTCACGTCATTTGTCAGAGTCAGAGACACTCTATCTCGTTGCCACAGCTGCGCGGAGGGTGATCTCTTTCCATCTGTTGCCGGCACAGACGGGGAATAGTCAACGAGGAAGCCCTCCATCGAACACAGCATTCCGCCTGCTCGGTTTGACGACGGCCATGCATAAGCAGTGGCAATAGAGGCTTGACAAGCCATTCTTGGGGCATTTGTTGACTCATGGTCGATCGATGGTGCACTGAATCATAGGGCGATCAGGGAACGCTCTATTTCAAAGACCGCATCATCGGGCAAGACCCTCGTTTTCGGAGCTTGAACCGAGCTGCCGCGCCGTCCCTGAGAGGATAGCGCGTCGATACCGCAGCACGATGCTGCTCCCGACAGTAGGGGCCTCACAAGTAAACATTTTTTTTGAAAATGACAATCACCAGGTTTGACATGCTTTTCTGAAAGTTTCCGAGCCCCGGAGCAACCCCGAGTCGTTTTCCCTGCTGTCCTGCATTTCATGCCCCTCCCTGCAGGCTC